TTAGTGCTGTTTTGCCAACCTGATTATTTCAATAAAAAACAGTAATTATAAACCTAAACAATTTGCATTACTCCAGCAGAAGCGATCTCTCCTCCAACCAAATCTTCAGAGTAGTTTTTTTGAGTAGATTTATTACTTTGCCAACTAAGTGTCCAGTCTGGTGGAGTGGGAAATACATGGAACATACACACTTTTAATGTCCTCTAATAGCTAGCTTAGTGCCATGTACTAAAAACAAAGCTTAATAAGCTTGGGGAGACAGCTCAAAACAATGACAAGGTTATTTATACAACTCTGCATAAATCTATACAACTCTGCATAAATGGAGTTCAAGAGACTTCAATGAACAATTGTTCTTTCAATGTGTGTAATCAAAGATTGCAAAAATTAACTCTCCAGATATATGTGAGGATTCCGACAAGTAACACACTCACATAAACTTTACAAAAAAGTTATGCGAATGGGCCAAAGTGAACTATGCTAGTGATCCAATTTTAGAAGATACAAATTCAGGTCTCTAAAATTTAACAAGTTCCATGATAAATGATTGACCAAACTGGAATCAGTTCACACGGTCTAAGGGATCCCACAGAGCTCACAACACAAGCGCTCAGTACTAGATTCTTAGCAATAGCTGTCTTACTAGACCTGCTCAAATAGTCCTGGACTAAAATAAGGAATCAAGTTCCCCCATCAAAGAAGAAGAAAGAAAAATAAGTAATTAAAGTAATTTCATGAAACTTGGGCAATAAATGCTATGATTCAATCCAATAAGAACATTCTTTCAATGAAGAAAACATCAAAATATTAATTATTAGTAGCACTTTATAGTTAATATTTATCACTCTATAAGGAATATCTGAATTCCATTCTAGGAATTCATTTTTATTTTGACTGCTTAGAAATACATTTTTCTCCATTGGTCACATTAAATATAACATTAGACATAATAGTACCATAGTTGGTTATACTTCTTCAATAGTAATGTTTATAATCATTAGCTACTTTCTTGAGATGGTACTTTAACTACATTATTTTATTTAACCCATTGAGTCACACTCTAAAGTTGGTGGTAGTGCCCCATTTTATGGAAGAAGAAAGTGTGGTTGAGTGGCTGAAGTAATACCCCAGGCTAGCGGTTAGCAGACACAAGCTTGAGAATCACCAGTCTTCTTTAGTCTTAAGCTTGTGTTCTTTTCACCTTACTCCATTATTCTCTTCAAATACACTTCTTATCTGACCAGTTTTGAAACACATAATTAAAAGGAGCCAGTTGTTAAAATATGGCAAACATTACTAAATTTTGTATGAACCCTTAAAGATTCCAAATAGTCAAACTACACCTGAAAAAAAAAAAAAAGCAGAATAGTATTCCACTCCCAGATTCAAACTAGACTATAAGGCTATAGCAATCACAGTGTATGGTATTAGAAATATAAACACACACATCAATGGAACAGAATTCAGGGCCTAGAAGAAGGAAAATAAAACATTTATATGGACAGTTAATTTACAACAGAAATGTCAAGAGGACACAATGGAAAGGAAAGTGCCTTCAACAAATGCTGTTGCCAAAACTAGACAGATACATGCAAAATAATGAAACTAGACCATGACCCTACACCAAAAAAAAAATGAAATTGAAATATATTAAACACTTGGATATTAGACCTCAAACCATAAAATACATAGAAGAAAACATAGGTATAACACCCACAATGTTGGCTTCAGTAATGTGTTTGGCAAAGGAAATAAAAGTAAAAATAAAGAAATGGGACTACCTCACACTAAAAGGCTCCTTTTAAAGCAAAGAAACTATCATTAAAACAAAAACACACCTTACTGAATGGGAGAAATATTCTCAATCATACATCTGAATAAAAGGCTAATCTCTAAGATCCTCAAAGGACTCAAACAACTCAACAAGTAAATAACCCCTTCAAAAAATGGGCAGAAGATCTGGACAGACACTTCCCCAAAGAAGACATACAGATGGCCAACAGGCACATGAAAAAAAATGCTCATCATCACTTCTTATCAGAGAAATGTAATTCAAAACTACAATGCGATACCATTCCATCCCTGTGAGAATGGCCTATATCAAAGAGAACAGAAATGACAAGTGCTGGCAAGGTTGTAGAGAAAAAGGAAGCCTCTTACACTGTTTGGTAGAAATGTAAATTAGTGTAGCTTCTATGGAAAACAGTATGGAAGTTTCTCAAAATATGGATAATAGACCTATCAGATGATCTAGCAATTCAACTCCTAGGTATCTACCCAAAGAATGCAAAAACATTAATTTGAAAGGATATATGTACTCCTAGTCTCATTATAGCACATTTAAAATAACCAACTTATGGAAACAACCCAAGTGCCAAATGACAGAAGAGTGGATAAAGAAGAGGTAAACACACAAAAGAGGGCCTCCCTGGTGGCTCAGGGGGTTGAGCGCAGCACTGTGAAGCTGTCCGCAGCCTCTAGAGTGTCAGTTCCATCCCCGCTGGCCTCGGAGCAACCCACATGTCCAGCCAGACCTCTCCTGTCTCGCCTGCTGCTCCCCTCAGCAGTGTATTTCGTCAGTCTGCCTGTTCTGCTCCCCTCTCTGTCTCTAGCGAATCCTCTCACCCTCCCACACATCTGGCCTATACCCCTGCTCTTGTATAAATAAAAAAAAATAAATCTTTAATTAAAAAAAAAGAAGTGGTAAACACACAAAAGAATAGTACTCAACTATAAAAAATGAAAAGAAAACTGAAAACTTGCTGTCTGTCACAACATGGGTAGAACTGGAGGGGATTATACTAAGTGAAATAAGTCAGATGGTCTCACTCATATATGAAATATTGAGAAACAAAACAAAGGGTCATACACAAATCAAAATAAATCCTAACAATCTGACTATAGAATTGAGGCTACCAGAGGAGGATGGGGAAGTTGGGAAACAAAACAGTGGAAAGGTCCAAAAGACTACAGTGGGGAAACATTGGTGCTTCAGTGGGAGCATGATGGGGTCATATATTTGAAAAGGTATCAGCCTATACCTCTAAAACATACATAGTGTTGTAAAACAATGTTACCTCAATAAAAAAATAATTAAAAAAAAGAAAGAAAGCAACCAGGCTACAAAAGTTAAAACTCAAGGACTGATGTTCTTTCAGACAACCATAAGCTAATAAAGGTCCTAACTTGCTTGCTGAAGACCATATAAATGTTTTATTGACCTGGACAGAGTCCATGTGAGGGGCAATTCACAAAGTCACTGCAGTTTCAATTGTACAAGTGGCTTAAACTATCTCCCCCACTGTTGAATGACAGGGTGAGGAGGAAAAGTTTAGGCCAAAATAATCATTTTCCCCCAACTTCATGAGTTCATTCATATCTGTGTCTCTGGCCTTTATTCCCAGGGTGATTTGGTCACGGTCTGCAGGCCACCCTACCCCTGTGCCTCCTGCACCTCAGCTCAGCTCTCTGAAGGAGACAAACTACAAAACAGACACCAGAAGGGAGGACTTAGCAAGGGAATCTTTTCCTCATTTTGTAGCAGTCCCTGAGAGCAAGAGATTACAAATTCAGTGGACATTCTCCTTCTTGTATCTCCACTCCTTGATCCAAAATTTTAGTCATAATCCCAATGTCTACTTACAGATGGAAAGTTGGCAGAAGTAAGCACAGTTTCTGTTTTTTTCCCCAGAGAAACACACATATGCACACACACACATACATACGTGGCAAAACAGATGCTAGATATTATTATTTCCTCACTATAATTTGCAAATTCTCTTCAGTGAGTATGCATGTATTTCACAACTGATAAAAATCATAACCATCATCTAAACATTTGTTTCTCTTCTCTCCCACTGCTTTCTCACAGAAGTCTGCAATACTTTTAACTCAGCTGCATCTTATAAAGCAACAAACAAGAACAAAACCTAGAACAGGGAAGTTTAAGAGCAAGTAGCAGGAAAAAAATTTTTAATTGGTATAGTTATTGTTTTTAGAAGAGAAATGATTTAATAGAGGAACAAATAAAACCATCTTAGTCTCAAAAACCTATTTTGGGGTTACTATGAATCCAATAAGCACACAGAGACAAAATAAGAGACATTTAGGTGCTTGATCCACTTACAGCCCCAAAGTTTGATTTTGAAAAATACAAGCCAAGCTCTTTAAAACTGGCAACAGTTACGCAAATTAATGGTACGGATTACTATAATTACACTTTATAGATGTTCCATAGTAGCAAATCACAATAATAACAATAGTACCATCAACAAGTGTGTCATTTATTGTATGCTTTCTAGGGATCAGACAAGGGATTAAGTGCTTTTAATGTATGCATTAAAATTTAATCTCTTAGACTCGTCAAAGCAACCCAGTAATGGAGTATTTTCTTTTTTTTTTATCCCCATTTCATGGATGAAGAAACTAATTGTTTTTAATGCATAATCTCTTATAATCATCAAAGGCATACCCAATGGTGAGTACTTTTTTTAATCCCTATTTCATGAATGAATATACTGAGATTGACTAATTTGAGCAAAGAACAGCATTGAGACTCAAAATCAGTGCTATCTTAAATATGTTAAACCCAAAAGGTCTTAACATTATTGAAAACAGTTAAACTGGTTTCTATAATCAACATTTTGAGATAATCACCTTCTAGGGATGGACCAAAAATTTGATAATAACAGAAACTTACAAAAGAAAGCTTCAGAAATCTTATAATATTTGGAAAAGAACTACTGACTATATAACATCAATTACAAGACAGAATGACACCAAAGGAACTCACTGGAAAATCCTGATTCCCCACAGTAAGTAGAAATTCCATGATAGATTCTATTTGGAATCTATGTTTCTGAATTAAAAATCCACATTCTTTATTGCCCATGTATTTCATGATATCACATAAAGCAGATTATGTATTTGGGGAAAGTATGTATGTAAACTATAACTTCGTAGTCACACTAAGCATAAAAGTTTACAACTCTGAGCCATACCTTGGTCTTCATGAACTTGGAGTGACTTTTGTAAACCTCTATTTGTTTGATTTCTTCTTCGCGGTCCTCAGTGTTCAGCACACCATTGGCTTTTAACATCTGGATCTCATCCTCAAGATCCCTTATGTTTCGCTCCAATGAAGCGATTTTTGTGTCCTGGTGGTAAAAAAAAAAAAAAAAGAAAAAGAAAGAAAGAAAAGAATGAAAATTGCTTTTCATTATCATCAACACAGAATTTCAAAAAGCAGTTTTGGTAGAAATACTTTATAGTGAGATGTAGACCTGAATGCAGAACAATTTATTTTTTTCGGTTCTGAGGATAACTTGTCAGGTTAATTTTTAAGCTCACATTGCTTCTCGGCCTTTTGGCTAAGATCAAGTGTAATTTTTAAGCTCACAATAAGACCACATATCATTTCAATACAGAGAGTTACCTGGATGTTTATCTAATATCTGGGAATCAAACTACCAAAGCAACAGTGATAACAGGGACCAAAAAATGTAATTTAAAAAATCAAATTTAAGATTAAAAAAATCATTTAAGTAGAAAAATTCATCATTTCAGATACAGTTTACCAGGATATACTTTTGAGTCTACTGTAAACACAAAAGCGGTTTGTTCATGTGTATATTCTGTGACTGGTTTTATAAGGCATGCTTGGAATTTGACTCGGGGAGAGAAGGAAATTAAAATCTACTAATGGGGGTAAGGATTCTCATGTAAAATACAGGCATAAGTAAAACTAAATACTGAATCTTGACTTAGTATGACTGACATACTGAATGTTGAAAATTTATAGCAACTGGAAATAATATATCATCTTGTCATGATTTATTTGGCAAGCAGTCAACTCCCTGTGTGATAAAAAACATTACTAACTTGCAGGGCATTTCTAATCTATTGATTTACAGAGTCAAAAAAAAATAGAAATATTACACTCAAATGTGGGACAAAATGAGAAAAAAAAACAGAGAGAATATTAAAAAGAAAAACAAAATGACAAATTCAACACACAAGATTCATTAACTTTGTGATTATTATTAAAAGGAGGAAAATGAGGAGGTTCAACAACTGTGACTTGTGCTCTTACTATATTCCAATATCTGGGTATTCCACGTGCGAAGACACTTGTTCTCAGAAAGAAAATAAAGCAAAAAGAATAAATTTTTAAAAATCTGAAATTTGCAGGATTATTAAGGAATATGGCATTCTTTAGTATTTCATTTTCCTTTAAAAATAATGCTTACTGAATTTTCTCCAGTTATATAATACCCTTTAAAATCATAGAAAAATGGAGAAAATGCCCTCTAGCCTTACCACCAAGAGATAGCAATCATCAGTATTTTCATGCAGAGCCTGCAAGCCTTTTTCTATTTTAAATGAAATATCCATGCATCTTGTATACTGCCAGCTTAAGCGAGGGGAGTATTATCGACTGATGTTTTTTTGCCACCGAAATTTATATGCTGAATTAACCCCCCCCCCCCCCCCCGTTAATGTGATGATATTTGGAGATGAGGCCTCTGGGTGGTAATCAGAATAAGATGGAGTCATGAGGATGGGGCTTTCATGGTGGGATTAGTGCCCTCATATAGAAACAAAATTGTTTCTTTAACTTGGCTATTAAAAATAGCCTGGCAATGAACATAGGAACATATATCCCTTTGGATTAGTGTTTTTACATTCTTTAGGTAGATACTTAAAAGTCAATTTGCTAGATCCAATGGTAGATCTATTTTTAATGTATTGGAAAACCTCCACACTGTTTTCATAGGGCCTGGATCAGTCTACATTCCCACCAAAAGTATACAAAGGTTCCTTTCTCTCAACACCCTTGCCAACACTTGTTGTTTTTGGTCTTTTAGTTATGGGCCATTCTCACAGGTATGAGATGATATCTCATTGTGGTTTTTGATTTGCATTTCCCTGATGATAAGTGATGATGACCATTTTTTCCTGTGTCTGTTGCCATCTGTATGTCTTATTTGGACAAATGTCTATTTAGCCCTTCTATCCATTTTCTTATCAGGTTAGGATAGACAAAACAGTGAAACAGTCAAAACTAACAATAAATCCTAGAAATATAACTTCAGAATTGAGGCTACCAGAGGAGAATGAGGGGGTCAAGAAGCAAAATGGGGAGGAGGCCCCAATGGACTACGGTGAAGGATTATGGGTGCTTTGCTGTGGGTGTGGTGTGGTAACATCTCATCTCTTAAGAGATGAGAATCTATACCCCTAAATCATATACCATGCTACAATGTTGCCTCAATAAAAAGAAAGAAAGAAAAAACACCAGAGAGTTTGTTTTCTCTCTCTGTCTGCCATGGGAGAACACAGAAAGAACCAATTATTAGTCAGCCAGGAGGAAAGCTTTCAATAGAATCATACCATGCTGGCACACTGATCTCAGACTTCCAGTTCCCAAAACTCCAAAAAAATAAAACCTTGCTATTTAAGTCACCCAATACATGGTATTTTATTATAGCAACCTAAGTTGATCAATGTAGAGTGTTATACTTAGTAACTTATTTGACTCTCAAACTATTAGAACTCTACAGATAAAAAGAACAGCAATAACAAAAAGGCTATAGAAAATGAACTTCTAAAAGTTTATAAGAGCCTTCCTAAATAAATTATTCATTTTAAATCAACATTTTTTCTGACCATAAAATTTAAACATGCTCATTATAGAAACTTGAAAAGCTCTATAAGTAATAATGATTGTCCACATCACATCACCCAAATTTACCCACCAGTAACATTTTCATTTACCTCACGAAAGCCTTAAGGTGACATAATTACTTAGAAACATATAAAAAGACATATATCAATTAAAACTCCAATCAATAGGATGCAGATTTCCCCCCCAATATTTAGATACAAGTTGGTCATTGTGCTTTACAATTATCTAAGTACAACTTTTACCAGAATTTAGCTGTAAATTAAATGTGACAGGAGGACAACATCCCTGCTTTTCTGTTGTAAAACCTTCTGGTATATCAGACCCAAGACGAAAATGACCATATTTGAATTTATATGTATATATGTATGTGTGTATACACATATATACATACATGTACATATGTAATACATGTGTTTATATATGGGTGTGTGTATGCCACAGTATACTTTACAAATCTCACATCTTACACCTTAATTTTCTGACAACACCTGGTAGAATTTCAGATCTCCATCATGTAGATAAATGGAGAAAAAAACCCTCAGCTTTCTCTCAATCAGCTCCTGAGGGTTTAGCAATGACCATATCTGTCACATTCTAAATGGGTTAGGAGTTTTTCACTGGACTTCAAAAAAAAAATCACATGATTTCTTTAGCACATATTGCTAAAGAAAGAGCAAAAGTAAGGTGAGATAGCTTCTGAAAGCAAGAAAATCCTCTTTACCCATGTACATCTGAATTGAAATTTCACAACATGATGACACATAATTTGAAAACAATATTTTTAACTTTCACTAATTTTCTCATATTAACAAACACATTTCTTTTTTTTCTAAATGTCTCTTTTTCTTTATCTAGAGTTATGCCAAATAAATAAATGAAAAAAAGAAAAGAAAAGAAAAGGTTTATGCACTGTGGAAGTCATTTTAATAGAGTCTTTTTTCTCACTATTCATACATCTGTTCGTATATAAGAAGTCAGTTTTAAGGGCAACATTGTCTATGCTCATACCTGAAATCATGAGCATGGGGGAAAAAAAGTAGATGGGAATATATTAGGATCTGGAGAGAACAGATTCAAAATAGACACAGGTAAGTTATGTGGTCTACTGATCCTGCCCAGGAAGATTGCTGAATGAAAGAAAGGAATGAAGAAATATAAGCATGACAATTAAAGGCAGATGAAATAGTTGTCATGTTCATAGCCTCTCAGCTGCCTCAGTCTGAAGATTTCAGGAAGAAGAAATTTTATCTTTTTCTCTTTAAAAGATCTCTAAATCAAAGACAATGACTAAAACCATTTCAGGAGGACCGTGAAAGGAGACTACCTCTGAACCTTAAAGTGGCTGAATGAGGTGTAGAGATGTGGCCTTTCACAGTCACAGAGTGTACATGCTCCGTCACTTGTAGCACTGACCCACCACAGAAAAACTCAAGTTGTGATATCCTGAAAAGCAAAGTTTTAGAAGGTAGAGCATTCTCCAAAGAATTTTCTTTCTCATCATCTTTACATGCTATTTGTAACTGATATTTTAAAATAATTTATGTACTAATTTTCAAATATTCATCTTGATTATGTTTCATAAATAGCAAGCTCTCAATGCAGACAATCATGAGCCTTTCTTAGAGAAATGAGGAACATAGGATAGCTTCCCAAAATCCACCAAAATGCTATGCAAAAAGGAGATGGTGGGGTCAAATGAGTTTAATAAAAGCTTATTGGGGATTCCCAGTTCACATCTGCATTAAAATCTCTGAAAAGTCCTAGATAAAGTATTTATTTAATTTTATTTTCCTGGGTGATATTCATCTAGAAGTCAATTCTTGAAAAGAATGGACCCTAATGCTTATGTTAAGCTCAGAGTTATATACTAAAGTGGAGTTAAAACAATGATTTGGATTCTTCAAGGAAAAATTGCGATGATTATCCCAATTTTAAAAATCTGGGGCTTAAATATACAGATTACCTTGTCACTTTGTCATTCAAAAATGATTTACTGGAAGCTGCTCTGAGCCAAGAGCAGTGAAAGAATAGATGTGAACTCCCCATGCTTCTGGAACACACCACCTCATCTGTAAAGTGACATTTTTCAAATGGTCTTGAGATAGGACAAACATGAAACTCTTCTGTTTTCATATTCTATTTTTCCTATGGACTTTAAAATATGGGGTGGTTGACTTTCCATGGGGGAAAGCAGATGAAATGTGTTTGCTTCATTCCCAAAATCTGAATTCCCTCTTTCAATTATTTCTTTCCACATGGTCATAAAATAATGCTTAAAATTTTTATACACAAATTACAGATTATAACTATTACCTAAAGATTTATTTCTAAGACTATTTTACACCTATCATCCAAAAGATGCAAAATAGGTATTTGATGGGAAACTAATTAATAAACCACTTAAATTGAACCCTAGTGACCATTTACCCAATGGGTCAATCCTACCTATTCTAAAAACAATCACAAATA